GGGGAACCTATCCCCTTCATGTCATTAATGAGGATACTATGTTATAATTGTCGTGGATTGGGAAATACACTGGCAAAGAGGTCTTTTAAGTCGTTGATTCGACAATCTTCCCCACATTTGGTTTTTCTAATGGAAACCAAACAAACTGTGACAGAGAATGAAATAATGGGTCGTTAGTTGGGTTTTGCAGGAGGTGAATGTTGGCCAACTTTTCAGGGTAGAGGTGGACGAGCAGGAGGCCTTAGTCTATGGTGGACACAAGATGTACATCTTACCATCATGTCTACCTTCGGAGACCATATTGATGCTCGTATAGAAGATGAGACGGATGGAGTATGGCGGTTCTCTGGCATTTATGGATGGTCAGAGACGGGAGAAAAACATCGTACCTGGGAGTTAATTCGAAGGTTGAGACAACAATGGGATGGTAAATGGCTGTGTGGGGGGGATTTGAATCAAATCCTAAGCCCAATGGAAAAGAGTGGTTGTGTTGGAGGCTTTGATGCTGGGATGGCTGCTTTTGAAGAATGCCTTGAGGATATGGGGTTATTGGACATTGGGTATGAAGGTCACAATTATACTTGGCAGAATAATCGTCAAGCTGGTAATTTCACCGAAGAACGCCTTGATAGGTTTATAGCCTCAAATGGTTGGATTAATCATTTCGACGCAGTCACTGTAAAGCATTTGAGCAAAAGAAGATCCGACCATCGGCCGATTCTTTGTAATACCTTAGGAAAGGAGGACGAGGATCCACGCTGGGGATGGTATTTTAAGTTCGAGCCTTTGTGGACTAAGCACGCTGAGTGTCAAGAGGTGATCAAGGAGGCTTGGTCTGATCCAAGAGCTGTTGATACGATGGGTAAGATCGCCACCCGCAGGGGAAATTTAGATGCTTAGAGTAAGAGAGAGTTCCCCAATTTTCCCAGGCAACGAAGAAGAATTGAGAAGGCAATGTGTTCCCTTGAAAGAATGCCCAAAATGCAGGGGTTCTAGAGCAGAGGCGTGTTTTGGAAACCAAATTGGACAGTTTGGAAGAGAATGAAGAAGAGTACTGGAAGCAACGGTCAAGAGCTGACTGGCTTCGCGGAGGAGACAAGAACACCAATTTCTTCCATAGCAAAGCCACAGCCAGAAGAAAGAGGAATTCGATCCGCAGACTGAAGAACAAAAACGGAGACTGGGTTACTGGCATGGAGCAACTATTTAATGTTTTCACTAACTATTTTAGTGGTCTTTTCACAGCTGGACCAGCTCCCCCCACTACCCCGGTGTTGAACTCAATACAACAATCCATCTCGGCAGAAGACAATGAAGTGTTGAACCAACCTGTGACGAGGGACGAGGTGTTTCTAGCCTTGAAGCACATGGGGAAGTGGAAAGCGCCTGGTGTGGATGGTATGACGGTGTTGTTCTTCAGGAAATTCTGGCAGATAATTGGCGATGATGTTTTTGCCTCGGTCTAAACCATTATCGAAGGGGGTACGATGCCACAGCAGCTTAATCACACCCTCATCGCTCTCATACCGAAAGTCAAAAACCCAACAACGCCAAATGAGTTCCGACCGATCAGCTTATGCAACGTTTTGTACAAGATTGTTTCAAAGGTCTTGACAAATCGTATGAAGTCTATTCTTGACAAGGTGATCTCCCCAAGACAGAGTGCTTTTGTGCCGGGGCATTCTATTACAGATAACATTATGACAGCCTTTGAATGCTTCCATTCTATGAAGCATAGGAAGAAGGGTGGCAAAGATTGACATGGCAAAATCATATGATCGGGTAGAGTGGAATTTCCTAGAAGGGGTTCTGCGGAAGATGAGATTTTCTGATTCCTGGGTTAACGTTATCATGAAGTGTGTGACAACGGTGACGTACTCAGTTCTAGTAAATGGCCATCAATCTGAGATTATAACCCCGACCAGGGGTCTCCAGCAGGGAGAACCTCTATCACCATATCTTTTTCTTCTTTGCGCAGAGGGATTATCAACATATACGGAACTTGCTGTCAAGGAAAAGAGAATTCGGGGGATTCAGCCAGCTCAGGGGGCCCCAACCATCTCCCACTTGTTCTTTGCAGATGACAGTATCTTCTTCACTCGTGCTACCCAACAAGAAAGTACTGAGCTAAAGCGTATCCTGAAAGATTATGAGAGGGAGTCGGGACAATTAGTTAACTTCCAGAAGTCTGCAGTCTCTTTCAGTCACAATACAAAGCTGCATAGGAAACTGGTGAACAGTGGTATACTGGGGATGATCCTTGTTGAAAAGCACAACAAGTATCTTGGCTTGGCTACAACGACAGGTCGGTCAAAAAAGGAAATGTTTGCAAGGATACTGGAAAGGATCAAGAAAAAGCTAAAAGGATGGAAGGAAAAGACTTTATCTGCAGCAGCCAGAGAGGTGCTAATAAAATCGGTAGCTCAATCTCAACTCACTTACCCCATGTCAGTGTTTAAAGTTCCGGATGGAGTCATCGACGAAGTCCACGGCCTGATTACCAACTTTTGGTGGGGGCAAAGAGGAACTGAAAGACGGGAACATTGGGTGAGGCGAGAGGAGTTAACGATTCCTAAGCTTGGCTCTCGAGACCTTAGGGGTTTTAACAAGGCGCTTCTTGCTAAACAGGTATGGAACTTGTTACAATGACCGGGGACTCTTATTGCTCAGATACTCAAAGCGAAATACCATAAGAGAACGTCCATTCTTGATGCTACAGTTGGTTACAACCCAAGCTTCCTATGGCGAAGCTTGCTGTCGGCACAAGAACTCCTCTGCAGTGGGCTACGGTGGCGAATTGGTGATGGGAAAATAACTAGAATCTGGGGTGATAGATGGGTGCCTTACTCCCCTAACTACTGAGTTTCTTCACCCCTAGTGGGCTTGCCAGTTGATGTCCTTGTATGTGAATTGATTGATGAAGAAACGAGGAGTTGGGATGTGAATATGTTGGCGTGTTGTTTGAGTGCAGACATGGAGGAGGCAGTCCGCCAAATACCTCTCCGTGGACAAGGAGAAAAGGATAAACTTATATGGATCAGCAACAATTCTGGGATTTATACAGTGAAGGATGACTATGCTCTGTGGTACCAACTTTATAGGACAGATGAAGGTCTTTTACCTCATGGTGAAGCCAAAGTTTGGAAGAGATTATGGGGCCTACAAGTCCAGCCAAAAGTCAAGCAATTTTTGTGTAGGTTTGCGCAGGATCTGTTACCCACCGGCGATCATATCAGTACCAAGAGCACGAGATGGGGTGATAAATGCCCTTACTGCGAATTACGGGAGACACAAGTGCACCATTTTGGGGAGTGTGCCTGGAGCATAAGGATATGGAGAGATTCACCTGCAAAATCGTGCTTTGAGTTACGTTCCCAGGGTGGTTGCTACGAGTGGCTGGTTGCGGTCATGGATGCTGTGGACGATTCTATGCTAGAGGAATGGGCGGTACTGTTATGGTTCTTATGGAAAGAGCACAATGCGCACATGTTTAACGGGGTCAAGCTTGATGAGACCGAGATTCCCCAGAGGGCTCATTTCTTCTTGGAAGACTATAAACAACACCAAGAGGTTGAAGAGATCCCACCTTTACAGCCGAGTCCTACGAGCTGGGAGCGACCTGCGGTGGGACACCATTCTGTGACAACAGATGCTGTAGTTTTTCTTGGTGGCGGAGCCGGCCTGGGAGTGGTGATACGCAACAGTGATGGGCGTTTTATCCTGGCGGCTGCAAAACGTATTCGGGGGCAATGGGAACCAGAGGATGCGGAGGCAAGAGCAGCAGAGATGGGGATGCAACTAGCGACTGCTATGCAGGTTGCACATCCGCTTCTAGAGATTGATTGCCTTTCCTTGGTACAAAAGATGAACATGCATAACCCGATTGAAACTGAAACTGGAGTTGTGATTAGGAATGTCGGATCTCAGAGGGGGTTACTGTAGGCATATCAAGAGAGAAGCGAATGTTGTAGCTCATTTGATGGCGCACTCGATGACGCCTTGGGATGAACGTTTGGTATGGGTAGATAGACCTCCAGTTTTTATAGTTGATAAGCTAAAACTGGATGATGTTGCTGTAACCTTTGAGTAATAAAATTCACAGGTTCCCAGTAAAAAAAAAAAGAGTAACTAAACCTACAATACTGATACACCGCTGATTTCATAAGCTAGTTTAGACGGTTTGTTTATCAAGTAAACTTTGTTTTACTTGCCATCGTAGAAAAAAAAAAGGAAAAACCTTCTGAGATTACATTCAAAAGCTCAAAGGATAACCTTTTTTTCTTTTTTACAATTGAGTAATCAAGTTGATTTTCTCTTTTGAACTAAACCATGAACTCTTCCATTATACATACCTAGCAATTTTCCATAGCTAGGAATCGATGTAGCGAAGCAGGTGGTTCTAGGCTGGAACGCCATCCAACGATTAAAAGAGTTGTATGGTATATGGTCACTAACGAACTCTATCTTTCTGATCTTAAAATCGCACGAAAAAACGATAAACTCATTCTCGCGTGGATGCCGATAACATTTTAAGAAGAAGATTTCGGGCTTGTTTGGATGTCGAGCAAGCACGGATACAAATTGCAAATCATCAACTTCAGAACCGCTGTTGCTCTTCATCGTCTCCAGCAACGCTTCGTACACATCGTCCACTTCATGCTCCCTTCTTCCCATTTCCAAACCCTGAAAACATCCCGGTCACTCTGTGGAATCCAGTGACCATGCTCATCATCACTAAGTTTCGGCTCAAGTTGGATTATGTACAGACCACCATCAGAGGACGACAAATGGGAGAACCCAAGTGACGATCCGTAAGAGAACTCCATGAATTCCATTTCATCGATGGTGATGGGACGCATATTCCGGCGGGAAGGATCCGAGCTGCAAATTTCCTGTTGACACTTCCAGTACAACTTCCCATTTGACGATGCTACATCAGTTTGAAGACGAAGATTCTTTCTCCTCGACCATCTTCGAGACTTGGAACAGAACACGTATAGTTAGAAATCAAATAGCGTCATTGAAAGGGCTTCATGCGCAAGCAGAACGCGGAATCGATAGTCGGAAGAGTACACGAATGCTTGTCCATCTCCCATATCCAAACTGGTATTAGAATTACCAATTTCCTCGCAGACCAATTTTACTTCCGTTGTTCGATAACGGCTGTTTATCCTCATAGGCGCCAGAGGAAGGGCGACCCATTGCTCTGTAAACGGATTGCAGAGAAAGAACAATCTGCCCATTTCGAAATAGATCGATGTACCCCAATCCTTAAATCCGCATAGGAGTAAGTCCTTGAAGGAATCCCAAACTATGAATTTGGATCGAAATTCTCCAGGCACGGGGAGGAAGCTCAGCATCGAAGACGAGAGGGGATCGTCGGAGGGAAGAAGCAGAGGTGGTTCTCTGTTTTTGCTCTGGTGGTGAGAGACGAAGCGGCGATTGAAGGAGGGACTGGAGATCATGGAGTTCCACCGCCTGCATACTGGTTTGCAGCGGGAGGCAGATCTAGGGTTTGGGAGGCGAATGAGGATTTCTTCCATGAGGTCGTCGCCCAGTCGGCTGATTGCATGCTCTGGCCCTTTGAATCGGATTCGCAATTTTTTTGTGGGAGGGCGATGGAATTCAGTACTAGTTCCGGCTGCTGCTGCCAATGCATCTCCTCGTACCAGCCGCCGCTTCTTAGCCGGCCTGTAGCTTTCTCCGGCGGACATTGTCACCAATGGAAAGGGAAACCCATATAGCACCGAGATGAGATGCCGGCGAAAGGTGAAGTGAATCAACGAGATAGATGCGTTAAGGATTGAGTACTCTTTTTAGATTTTATCATTGTGGACTGGATGCGGCCGCTCTTTTGCGGTCTCCTAATCGGATTCGGATTTGATTTTCAAACAGTCCTCCTACTTTTTAGCTTTATTTCTTATTCTGGGCCGGCCGGCCCAATTCTGACTCGCATTTTTTTCGGTTACATATACATTTGGGGTAAATTGCAGTCATTGGGTTTACTAAAAACGTTCATATCTAGTTACTAGCATCAGGTCCGGCCCGTTGGCCGGTGATTCACAGTTGTTGAGATGAACTTCTGTAAGCAACCTTCTTGGCTGCTACATCATTAAAACAACAAATTCCAAATAGTTTTTGCCTCAAACACACAAAAACAGGCTATCAGTGTCATAAAGTGATGAATTGCAAGTTGGTTGCATAAACAACATGGATAGATGGAACCCGCAATGGGGGAAAAAGTAGAGGCAGTAAGCTACCATTATCACACAGAAACCCATGCTTTTTCGAATTTCAAATTCCATATTCTTTTGGCAATGACAACCAAAATTGTTTGATTACAGATAAATAAATTTTATTAGCGTGAAGCCCTGCCACCACACCAACTGGAAGATCCTACATACTTGTTCTTACAAACCACCAGGGGAGAGAAAAAAACCCCCTACCAGTCTGAACTCAGAAAAGAAACAGACAAACTAAGAGTACATACTAAGTAGGACATCCCAGCTACATCAAGCACTACAAAGAAGATTTATGTATGGCACCATGAAAATCTTGATCCTTATCCATTCTGAGCCTGTCAAATTGCCTCATCTATCTTCTGGTATGAACTGGAATCTACACTACAAAACTGCCAACAATATGTAGCACACCTCTCTCTTCGCACAGAGGAAATGATTACCGGGAACAATAAGTTGCCCACCCTTGGTGGCACTTCTTTTCCTATCGAACGCATAGTACACCAATTCAGCACTAATTCCCAGTGAGCCAATCCAATTGGGGGAGCTTCCTGCTGCAGGCACATTTTCAAAACCCAATAAAACATAATTACATTCCACAAATAAATGAAACCCGCTTTCCATGCTACCAAGAACAATGCACATAAAGTAGTAACATCCTAATCCCACACCAGGAGTTTATCCTGAGTTTTAAATCTATCAAGAATGAAATGATAAAGACCAATACGTACAATATAAAAGTAAAAAATTCATACGAACCTAACCATTCACAAAAATCCCATAGTCTGCAAATACCACTTCTTGTTCATTTAGTCATGCAGGAACGAATTCCATCAGACTAAGCAGTTGCAAATCTGTATACCACGATAAATTGGTTAATCTCGGCAGGTTAGAAGATCAAGACTTTGTAATTTGAGAAAAAATAATTGGAAAATGAGTCCTACGCCAAACTAAACACGTAATAAGTGCAAGCTGGCAGCAGTTCAAGAATTCTCAATATCAACACAACTTCTCTAGCTACTATAGCATTGGATCTTTTCTTAGTTTACCTTTGCTAGTGGTTTGACACCTTCTGACATTCAGAACTGTTGTTGAACCTCGTATCTGTTCTTTCAGCTTCAAGTAACCTTGCAAGTTCACCTTCCATCAAAAGGATTAGACTCTGTAAAGAAGAGTTCAAATATGTAACAAAAGAAGTTCCCATGTTGAAACCATTGTATTGACAGAGAATAAGCTGCTGACAAAAGTATCAAAGTAACATGAGAAAATAATTCATAAAATCATGGATTAAAAGTAGAGGCCTAACTTGATTACCCTGAAGAAAGTAATAACTCACAGATTGCAACATCACATTGACGGGAAGTTCAATTTCATGCTGTTGAAAATGAACTACTGATGCAATCAACCAACTATTACAAAATTCTAGATGCAGTATTTCTAAAGATAGCACAACAGTTAGGCTCACATATTGATCATGGGTCTGATAGGAAGAAATAGAAGAGCACAGCTTAAGGTAGACAAAGGTTTTAAGAAACAGGATGAGGAACTATTTTTTAAGTAAATAAAGTAGAAATCAGATTTTATGCATTATTGTTCACCCAACCCATCACAGAAATTACATAAATTTGCAGCATGAACTTTTATAACTAATATGGATCATCAATTCTATAATCAAATTGGGAAAACTATCTCAACCATGACTGTATCCGCAAGGCTCTAATAAGAACCAACTATTACAAAATTCTAGCACAAAGGACCCATTAAACAATCAGCAAGAAAATTCATCAAACAATCATAGGAATGGTCTGGATCTATGCTTCAGTGCTTCAGGTTTGTGGGGCTGCAGTTTCCCTTGTGCAGCTCGTCCCTTGCCCATCAATGACCCTTGCTCCTTGGTCCAATTTCTTTTCATTTTTATTTTTAATGATCTAGCGTAATAGTGCTGCAGTAAATGATTTTCCCTCTTTCTACTTATAGTATAGGCTATTTGTCTTGTATTCCCGTTCTCAATAATCTAAATAACTTATATTACCCTTACCATAAGATGTGAGTGTATAAAATCGTATACTGGCATTGAAACTTAACTGACCTCAGTTTTGTATTGATCTTTTGAAAGTGTGAGAGTTGAGAAGAGAAGCTATTAAGCTCGCTAACAACTCTACATGTTGAGTTGAATTGGAGGAAGGAAGCGGTGGAGGGCAAGCGGCGGCGGAGGGACAGGACGACAATGGAACTTCCTGCCCGGTGGAGTACTAATCAACTTCTTGAAGGAATTCTACAAAAAAAAAAAGGATTGAAGGAAGGAAGAAAGAAGCGAAGGCAGAGAAAGGGACAGTCAAGAGGCAACGTCGGGAGATTCCGGGGAGCAGTTGTGATTTTTGGAGAGATGCAGGTTGGATTTTGAGGTTAGCGGCGGTGAGTAATGGGGCGCCGTCAACGACAAGGGAAGGGACAGAGACCTCGTCGGGAAATTGGAAGAGTCAGAGGCGGCGTGCAATGGCATGCCGTCGACAATAGGGGAAGGGACGGAGATCTCGTTCGGGAAATTGGAAGAGAAGCACCGAGGAGGAGAAGGAATACGAAAGGTCGACTGAATGACGAAAAAACCCTTCCATTTTTCGCGGGCTGTTGAGCACGGGCTGACGTGGCAATTCATTTACCATGACATTCCCTTATATTTATGTGTAGACTACAAATATTTAATTAAATTCATGGTCATTGAAATTAATTCAATTGTTCAAGTTTGGTCACTCTCCGTCCAACTCCGTTAACTTTGTATGATGTGGCAGTCAACACTCATAGTTGACCGTTAAATAAGTGACGTGTCAATTAAAAAATAATAAAATAATAAAATTTATATCTTACAATTTCCAACTCATTTTATATCTTAAGTGACGTGTCAATTTATATCTTACAAGTGACGTGATAATTAGCCCGAGTGGAAGTGAGACATCTCTGCCCACCCCTCCCGCTCCCGCAATGATTCCTCGATTCTCCAGCGAGTCTTCGGTTCTCCTCCTCCACCGACACTCTTCTGATCTCCCTCATACAACCCAAAATAATTGGTAGAATCATTTTCCAAAGCCTCCACTCCCCAATTTCAGTCTACCTAAAGAATAAAATTCATCAGAAGCAACTCAATCCGTCGCCGTACCTCCCACTTAGATCTGTCGGATCTCTTACTCGCTGGTCCGACTTCCCATTTGCTAGCCGGTGACGAACCTTCATTGTTCCTTCGATTTCAAAGTCGGGTAAGGAATCGCAACTCTATCTCATCTACAATCTTTCGTGCTTTTTCTTGTTCTTATGAAGTTGCTCCAAATCGATTGATGCATGTAATCCATCGGCGGACATCCCACTCCATTCGCTCAATCGAACGGACCTCCCACTCGCTAGCTCGACTTTCCACTCACTGCCGGTGACGAACCTTTGTTCGATTTCAGGGGTTTCATAAGGAATCTCAACTTCAACTCTATATATTTGAGATAGATTGTAACCCCGGATGCAAAATTTTATATAGAATACCTAAACTACCCTTTACCCTAGTATAAATAAAATAACCAAACTCTAAGCAATTCCTAGTGGCACAGCGGGGAGAGCTCCTAGGGAAAAATGAAAACCCCCATTCTATCGTTTCCCCCTCACACATAGGGATGGAAATGGGGCGGGTTTGCTTAAACCATCCCCGTCCCCGCTATTAAATATCTATAACGATACCCGCCCCATACCCATGCGGGGAAGGTTTTGCAAACTCATTCCCATACCCGTGGGTTTCGGGTACCTATGGGTAATACCCGCCCCGCATATCCGACATTATAATACCTAAAGTTTTACATGTACATTCTCAATTATAACATTAAACGCACCTACTATCATGAAGTTGACCAAAATACTATCATTCTTTATACGATTCAAAGCATCTTATCCTAAACAATCCATTAATCCATAAGATAGAGTACAATATAATGTAATACAAATCATTCTTCTTTGACTATGATACATCTACTAACTAACAAACTAACATAATCTTGTTAATACGATGGGAAAAGTGAAAGAGTAAAGGGAGAGTTGACGAAAAGGAATTATGTTTTGATTTGGGTAGTCACTCAATTGCATTTCTAATATTTATTTTCTTGAGGTACCCTCACTATCATTCATATATTTGTTATTTGTGAAGAAATGTTCTTAGGGGGGCGGGTATGGGGCGGGGAGGCTAAAACCATACCCGCCCCATACCCATCAAACGTTTTTGCGGGTTTTACCCATACCCGCCCCATACCCAGTCATTGCGGGGATTCCCCTCGTTGACTGGGTCGGGGGCGGTCGGATACCCGCTACCATGGATTTTATTGCCATCCCGTCACACAAAAGCAGCACTGTCTCCTAGTTTTCTCGATCTTGAACCGGGAATGGCGATGGTAAACAAATAAAAGAGGGAAAGAGAGATGGAAGTGGAGAGTAGTGGGAGGTAGCAGAACAAAGAACGGAATTAGAGGGGCAACTTTGTTTGCCTTGGGAGTTGGGACGACGACATCAACGAACTTCACCATCATCGCATCGTTGTGTCAAAATTGGGAGTCAGAGGCCCAGCCGAGTAGGAGAGGGAGTCGGTACGACACGAGGAATGACTCGACAAAGCTCATCGACAAGAATGAGCAGATCGACGATGATAACGGAGGGGAGCTGGAATCGTGGGCCGTGGTCATGCGCAAACCATGCAAATCTTCGCCGGATAACTGTGATAGGGACCTACACACTTCTCGCACGTAGATGATAGGGATCAATACCGAGCAGTTTTCTATTGAAGTTGTCAAGTAGTTCTCGGTGACTCGACTTGATTTTGAGGTGCGTGGTTAAAGGTGGCTAGAGTAGTTTTTGTCATCGGTCTAGGCATTTACGTTTATATTATTCATTCTAGTTAACGACTTACGTTTAAGTTATTCCTTACACGCTTCTAAGCTAAGTCATTTTCATCCAGTCATTACTTTAAGTGTGTATAGCATCACGAAGCATCAACAAACTAAGTTTCAAGGCATTCAAGTCTAAGCTTACTTGTGCAAGTTAATAAGTTGGGTCTTCCCATTGTGTGGGAGATCACCAAAATTTTCAAGTATGCAAGCAAGTATGAGTTAATTACATCTCCCCAAGAGTGAGAGATTAAGATAAGCAAGTGTAAGAACTATCAAGTTAATAAGTACGAATAACTAAGAACACGTTTAATCCTTGCTGAGCTAGCTACGCACGCGGTACAGGATCCCCATCGTGTGGGTGTTTTCGCCTTAGATAGGCGCATGATCCCCATTGTATGGGTGTTTCACCTAAGATAGGTGCAAAATCCCCATTGTGTGGGTGTTTTTGCCTCAAATAGGCACAATTTACACGTTCATGCTGCCCATTGTGAGGGTAGTTGTTGACACCTAAAATTAATTTGGCCTGAATTAAATGCCGCATTAATTAGTCTCGGCATTTAATTCGATACCGTGGGTAAAAAACGGTGTCGTTTGGAGTTGAGCGGCGCCGCGGAGAGTTAAAACGGTACCGCGAAACAGAAAAACGGTGCCGCAAGGAAGCTCGACGGTGCCGCAGCATGGGAAACGACACCGCTTAATGAAAAACAAAAGGGGCCGCGCGTGTAGTTGGGTTGGAGAAGGGAGTTTTATAATTAATTATTACTTATTCCTTGTCGGAAGAGGAAAATCGGTACCGCATAGAAAATTAAAACGGTACCGCAAGGGAGCTCAGCGGTACCGCGGCATTGGAAACGGCACCGGACACCGAAAATAAAATAAAGGGCCGCGCGTTAATGAAGGTTGGAGGAGGAGTTTTGATTATTTAATTATTATTTTTACTCCTTGTTGGAAGGGGAAAATCGGTACTGCATGGAGATAAGCGGTATCGGGAAGAGCTAAAGCGGTACCGCGGATTTAAAAACGGTGCCGCGAGAGCCTGGTAAGCGGTACCGATTAATTAAAAAATCATATCGGGCAAGTGACCAAAATTCACCCGGCCCAGCGCCGACTGCGGCGGTTCCATGGATTAATATTTTTTGGCTATATCGGCGGTGTCGTTTAATTCAAAACGGTACCGTGGGTAAGCTCAACGATACCGCGGATTAGCAAACGACAGTGTTTAAATTAAAAACAATGTTGCGAAGGGAAAGGCAAACGGAGCCGTTTTGGGCGCTAATGATGTCGTCGGTTTGACTAGTTATTGGCCGGATTAATTAACTAATATGGTTAATTATTTTTTAGGACGGTGTCGTTTAGTTGGAAACGATGCCGCAAGAGGAAAGAAGCGACATCGCGGATTATAAAACAAAACCGCGAGTAGGCCAAACGATGCCGCAACAGGTAAAACGACAGTGTTAAAATTGAAACAGCGTCGCGAAGCTCAAAAGTTCAACGACATCGCGGGACAAGGAAACGATGTCGTTTAACTAAGAACGACGCCGAGGGGTGAAAGTTCGACGGCGAGTTAACAATAAGGGCTGGTTTAATTAATCAGTATTTTATGAGTATTTTAGACGGTGTCGTTTAATGAAAAGCAATGCCGCGGAAAAGCAAAACGACATCGCGGTAGACTAACAATGTCGTTGGTTAAACCGGGTCGGAGCAGTTGAGTTGGATTATGAAACGACATCGGTTGGGGAAGGGCGATGTCGTGGTATTGGTGAAACGGCATCGTTGCCTGGACAAGGATGTAGGTCGTTTTGCCAATTTTCTGCAAGGCAAGAGCGGTTTCAAGGGCACGTTACTATCACGCAACAGGGAGGAAGTTACCGTTGACAGGAGTGAAGACGTGGGAGACAAAGGCGCGACGGCAGTTACTACGACGGGGAGAGGCGCGAAGTATAAAGATTGGGAAGAGAGAGAAGCTCAGGACGGCAAAATCAAATCACAAACTGCACCTACGCAGATTTATCCTTTTCTCTCTAGTTCGTAGAACTTCTCTGACAAAGACCTCCTTTGCAGAGTCGTAGTAGTTGTAGTCGTAGTTGCGGAGCTCTCCAGAGGAACCTCCATAGGAGTAGAGGTAACGTAACTTAGAACACTCCCGGTTTGGTTTCTCGTTTCTCGTGAACACCCTCGTTCGAACGTAGTTTGGAGAGGTGGTGAACCGAGTAACGGTTGTTTGATTAGAGGTCAAAGGTGCATCGATCAAATCAACGACGCCGATACCGGCGGCGGATATTTGACGATCGTCTTGGTTTCTACTTTAATCGATCAAATCAACGACGCCGATATCGGCGGCGGATATTTGACGATTTTGCTGACTTTGGGTTTTTTGTTTCCTTGAAATCAGAGCGCATTGAACGCGCGAGTTTCGCCAACGAAACAAATTGGCACACCTGGTGGGACCCGTGTGTTCGGATGGCTCCGCGAAGGAAGAATCATGAGGGCGATCTTCCACCAACTTCAGTGGAGGAAGAGCCAATGGTCAATGTAGAGACTGACCAGAGTGGCAGTTCACACGGCGGTTCGAGCAACGACGCCGGAGGGGAAGTGCCAGCAGTGGCGCAAACTGCCAACCAAGGTGAGATAACACGCATGCTTCGCCAAGTCATGGCTGATAACCAACAGGTAAAACTTCACTTAGCCTCTTTGGATGGACGTCTTGATGGTCTTAGTTCTCGGATTGATAGACGTGTTAGCCAATTGGTTGAAGTCGTAGATAAAAACAGAATGGATTTTGAAAGTAACAGACGTGATTTTAATGACTTTAGAGAGTTTTTGAATATACCAGTGCCGCAAACAAGGGCTTTGCCGTTAAGCGGTGAGAATCCGTTACACAACGACACTGGCACCAATAGCTTTCCGGTCAATGGCGGCCGAGATACTCAGCCGAGACAGGGTGTTTCGCCGACACCGGTGGTGAACCCAACAAGTCCGTCGAGAGTAAATACTGGCGAGACCAGCACTGCGGCTAACACTCGTGTTGAGCCGCCACCAGTGCACAATGTGGGTCCACAAAATATTCCGGAGGCCAGACCCTACGTGGCTCCGATAAGCGGTGCTGGTGGTGGAGGAACGATCAACAATGATCATGTTCCGCCACGCGGCTACCCACAAAACGTGCCTCCTCCTCCAAACGGGCTTGGCATGGATCCGGGTGGATTCGTGCCACAAGGAGGGCAACTCGGGGGGCAAGACGTTAATGCGATAGGAGATCAAGTAGCACAGATGCTGGCGGATCAGTTTGGTTTAGGGATTAGACCAGCGATGCCGCCGGTGTATCGAAAACCATATCCGGATTGGGTTGATAGATACTACCCCTTTCCACGTGGTTTTCGCGTGCCTGATTTCATCACCTTCAGCGGGACTGGGGATCAGTCCACCGTCGAGCATGTTGGACGATTCACGGTTCAGTGTGGTGATGTGAGTGATTTCTTGAAGTTGCGTTTGTTTGGCAACTCGTTAACCGGCCCTGCATTCGCATGGTACGTCAACTTGCCATCGAACTCGGTTCAAACTTGGCAGCAAATGGAA